TAATTATTTTCTTAAATTTATTATTAATTTTTAGTTTTGGTATTTCTTTTAATTTCATTTTTTTTTTGTTTTATTTGTTTTATTTAATAATTTTAGATTTATAAAATTTATTTTTATGGTATTTTTTAAAAAAATTACTTTATTAAACAATTTTCTTTAGTTTGGTATTTTTGATTCCATTTTTAACTTAATTTTTAGCATTTTTTTTTTAATTTAATATTTTCTTAATTTCATGAAAATTTTTTACAATTTTTTTATTATATAATCATATAATATTCATATAAGTGAATTGCTGGGCGAGGGTCTTCGATCACGTGACAGATTTAATATTTTTGATTGGCCAAATTGGCCACATGATCGTGTCATAGGTTCGTTTCGTTCTTTCGGTCTCCAGGTATATTTCTTTTTCTCTTTTTTTCTTTTATTTTTATTTCTCTTGCACTTTGTTTTTCACTAACTTATTTCATTATTTTTAGGTCCTTTAGTCCTTCCAGTTCTGCAATTAAGGTTCAGTTGTTTTTCACTTTACGTTTCGTTTCTTACTCATTTTTTTATTTTTTATTTATTTTGTTTCTGTTTCATATTTTGTTTTTCACTAATTTTATTTCATTTTTTTTTAGATATTTTAGTTCTTTCAGTTCTACAATTAATAAAGGCATGTTTTTTTATTTTTTATTTATTTTTTACTTATTTCGTTTCTATCTTATATTTCGTTTCATACTAACTTCATTTTTTTTTTACTTTATGGTTTTATTTTTTACTTGGCTTCCTATCATGATCATTTTTTTATTTTTTGTCTCTCATCATTTTTCTCATTACTTCTCATCATTCCATCCTTTCGTCTCCATCATTTTCTATTACATCGTTTTTTTTTTCCATTATCTCTTTTTCTCTCCTGTTTACTTCCCATTATCTTTTTGTCTCTCGTTACTCCTTTTCGTCTCCCATCACTCCTCTTCATCTTCCCATCACTTCTTTTTGTCTCTCATCACTTCTCTTCGTCTCTAACCACTCCTCTTCGTCTCCCATCACTTATTTTCGTCTCCCATCACTCCTTTTCGTCTCCCATCACTTCTCTTCGTCTCCCATCACTTCTGTCGTCTCCCATCACTCATTTTCATCTCTCATCATATCCTATTTCTCCTTTTTGTTTCCTATCACTTCTCATTACTCTTTTTTACACCCTTTCATCTTCTATTACTTTCCACTACTCCATTGTTATTTCATTTTTTTTATTAGCATCTTTCTCCTTGATCATTGTAATTTACTTATCTTTTTTATTTGTATCAATTCAATAAAATAAATATGGTTATTTTTTTCTTTAAAATCGTAAATGTGTGACTTAAATTTTAATATTTGCAAATAAAATTTCATTAAGTAAGAATTTTTTTTAAAAATGTCTTTTGCAATAAAATTTAAGTTTAACCGATCAAGAGTTTACATCATATGACGTATTTGAAAAAAAAAAAACCCCAGCCCAGGTGACGTTTAGCAATCCCCAGTTTTTATTTATTACTTAAAATAGTAGATTTTCAAAAAATGTTTTTATTTAATATTACTAATGAAAAAAAGTGAAAACACTTCAAACAAATTTCTGCTATATACTTTTTTTTAAAGTTAAAAACCTTTTAATTTATGTTATATATGAATATTATATGATTATATAAAAAAAAATGCTAAAAATTAAAGTTAAAAATGGAATTAAAAAATACCAAACTAAAGAAAATTTTAGATTATTAATATAAAACAAATAAAACAAAACAAAAAAAAAAAAAATGGAATTAAAAGAAATACCAAGACTAAAAACTAATAATAAATTTAAGCGATAAAATTCAAAAGCCCGTGTAATGTGTCTGGCTTTAATTTTAATAAATTTGTTGATCGTACTAACCATGAAATTCAATATATGGTTAGTTTGATGGCCAAATATAGCTTAAACTTTCCAGCATTTTTTATATTAAGCTTGAAGCTTGAAGCTTGAAGCATATACTTAAGTGTAAGCTTAAGCATAAGCTTCAAGCTTTAAGCTTCAAGTATTGGATCCGCAATTAGCTTCTCTACGGATAGCAGGTTAATATGTATTTTTTTTTTTAAAAAAAAGAAGAAAATTAAAAAAAAAAAGACATATTCTTTTCAAATTATTTATTAATAATTTATTTACTATGATAAAAAAAAAGTACTATGAAAGCTATTGAAAAAAAAATTTATTACCATAAGATAATATCACAAATAAATAAAATAAATTATTTTTTTCTTTTTTTTTTAATTAAAAAAAAAAATATTCTTTTACCATTATCAGTTAAATAAAAAAAACATGGAAGATTTCAAATGTCAATCATTATGTACCATTTAAAGTTAAAAAATTCAGGATGTAAAAAAAAAACTTCTTCCTCAATTTCTTAAAAACATAATAATTCCGCAGTAAAAAATAAATTTTTTACTCTCGTTTTTATTAATATGGAAGATAGTAGAAATATACAAATAGCCGAAAATAGGTTTCCTTATGGAACTGGCGAAGAACATAGATTTTTACATTTTACATATACACATTATTTTCAATATTGTGAAAGTCTTTTTACTTCATTTTTTTCTAGTTCAAAATAATATTTTAAAAGCAAATTTTGGTCTATCAAATGAAGAAATACTCAGTTGGGAGAATAGAGCCGCTCGCTATAAAATGACACCTCAAAGTTTTTCTTTTTTTTACATGTTGCTATGTACTCTGCTTCTCAGGGTTTTAACGCAGTATACTCTGGAATAAAAGAGCGCAGTGAAGGAAGAAAGCAAATGTTACGTTTAGTGAGAAAGTATGAGGAAAAGTCTAAAAAGGGCAAGAAGGCTAAAAAAAATAAGAAGAAAAAACACCAATCTGAAGATTCCGATTCTGATGTGCTTACAGATGTAGAATAATGAGAAATACTGATGATGATGATGATCAATTGGGTGTTGATCAAGATGTTATTATAAATCGGTCGATTGCGGATGCCTCTGGATCACAATCACATGTTGATCAACATATTGATATGGACATCTCAACAGTACAACCTATTTCTGAACTGGATGTAACGCCTCAGCTGCAACTTGTAAAACAACCAGTTGACAATTCATCTAATTTGACAAAATCTTCGAATAAAAAAAAGAAGTCAAATAAAAATATTATTCAACAAGTTATTACAGGTCATAAACCAGATGATGATGGTACATC